CTCCCCCCGGGTGACCCCTGAGGTGGTAGCCGGAGGGAGATTGTGCTTCCCTTCTGCTTGGGCCTGTGCCGGGTTCGGGTGCTGGGCTAGCGGGGTGCTGTTGAAGGTGCCTTGGCGAGGGGATTTGGTGGGGTCTGTTGCTGTCTCTAGGCTCCTGGGATGCCGCAGTTAAGGTCAGGGAAAGTGGTAACTGCCAGCCAGGTCAAGTCGGCTGACACGGTCGTCATCAGCCCGGTGGGGGTTGGACGTGAGCTGGGAAAAAAGTTGGTGGTTGAGCAAGGGCCTGACCTGGTACCAAAGAGAAGATCTGAGCAGCAACGTGCCATGCACCCCAGTGTTTCCTGGGAGCAATTAACTCCTCTTGTGCCCATGCAGGAGAACGGTGAGAGTAGCCTGAGACTCCCAGGTAAAAAAAACAGAGGCATACAGTGCAGGAGGGCTGCCAGGAGCGAGAAGGGTGTAGCTCTGCCAATTTCAGACACTGCTGTATGTGAAGATTTGCAGGCAGGGACCACAGCTGCAGCAAGGTGCTGGGAAGAGACTGTAAGGAGAGGGACAGGACAAGGTCAACAGCTATTTTTCTCAGGAACTACTTTACAGAATAAATTCTCAGCAGGCACTGAAAAGAAAGAACGTAGCTCAGAAGGACTGAACCTCTCAGGTTTCCAGGAGAGTTCAGGGAGCTCGGGAGAAAAAGGCAAATACTCCTTTATGGAAATAAAACTACAAATCCCATCCTCAGAGGAGGAACTTGAGAGCACAGAGAGACATGGCATTTCCCATTTGCCAGAACCAGAGGTGCTGCAACCCAGAAAGGGCACATACAGTACTGAAATGGAAAGCAGCAGCTCCTTAATGATACTGAAGATGCAAATCCCAGATCTTATGAATAATTTGGGGACTCAGGAATCCTTGTCAGAACCAAAACCTCAGGAAGAGGCAGGTATGCTAGAGAAGTTGGATGGGTATTCTTTAATTGGATCGAGAAAGCCAGCGACACTGGAAGAAGGAAAGAGATACCTGAGCAAGAAAGGCAGGACAACCTTGATGAAACGAAAACTACAAGGTCCCAGAGAGGGGGGTAGATCTGCCTTGCTAGAACTGCATACACAGTGTCCAGAGTCCAAGAGAGGAGCTCCGCGTCTGAGGAAGAGGAACAGAAATGCACTGGTGTCACAGCAGCTACAAGGTCTAAGTGACCAAGAACAACAGCCAACTAGAGGAAAGACATGCAAGCGTTGCATGAAAGAAGAGCAGCAGAGCTCAAACCCTGAAAAAGGACCAGACAGCCTGGAGGAAAGTGGTAAGCACTGTGCCCTGTTGTGAAGTACAAATGCAGAATTTGGGCTCCCAGGACAAGGAACTGGTACTCCAGTAAGAATCCATTAAAAAGTGAAAGAACAGGAGATAACTTTTCTTTTGCAGATGCTGCTAACTTGGCTCAAGAAGTGTAGATAGGAGCTAGGGTCTGCTTTACAGTACTGTAAATACCAGTCTTGGAGGAAAAAAGATTTTAAGGAAGAGGAAAGGCTTTTCTTGAAGGAGAAGAGCAGTTCTTTAGCACAAAGGAGAGGAGACCAGATACCCTTTTGAGAGGTGGGGGGAGGAAGGGATGATATTGGCACCAGCAGGCCCTGAGTAGGATTTTTTTTTATTTTTTTTTTTAATTAGTAGAAGGTCAGGCACAAGCAGGAAAGGAGGCAGTAGTTTCAGGAAAGCAAAAATAAAAGATAGTCAGTTCTTCATTCATCTGTATATTATTTGTTTATTTTTAAATACGTACCATGCTGTCTTGTTTTAGTGCTTTCTTTTATAGGATGCTGGTTTTTGTTATCCGAACTTTTTGCTTTTTAGTTGTTGTTCTCTTCTACATCATAGAGGATTTTGCAAAAAAGTTTGTATTTTGGTGTTTTAAGAGAGTGTTGTATCAAACTGGAACAATTTTGAAAGGAGATTATTTAAAGTCTCATTTTTTTCAGGACAGTTGTCTAAAAGACATTCTTTTTACTTTCAAAGTGGATGCATTCAAATGACAAATATTTGCTGTAGGTTGCTACTAATAAATATTTTATCTAGAAACCATATTCTGAAAAACAAGTATTAAAATTGTATCTTACTCTGAAAACTAAGATCTAAAAAACCCCTACATTCAGCGTAAAAAAGCTAGTCCATTCTTGAGTCCATTCTCCAGATGAAATTTTCAGAGGTACAGGTTTTTACGTAATCTGTATTTGCTCTTAAATAAAAAGTAGTACTTTATAAAAATGCAAGTTCTGAAGTTTTCCTAGATCATCTTGAACAGTCTGATGCATTTGGTTGGACTATATATCTGAAATAAATCACTATATTCTTATAAACAAGCTTTCCTATTACAGAGAATCTACAGTGTTAACAAAAGATTTTAAGGCTGAGTGTGCAAACAGCATCAGAATTTTCTTGCCAGACTTGCTGTAATTTGGTTTTCACCTATGTTTTAAATATACAACTTCCAGTGTCCTTTTGACACCTTAAGGTCTCTGCATTTTCTGAAGCAAAACATCATTTTTTACTGTAAGTCTGCTAATAGTGCTTTTTTTATAAAAAAAAAAACAACCAACCAACCAACCAAACTTTACAGAAATGTTTTAGTCTTACAGTGTCATGTTCCTTAGCAGCCTTGAATGTTTTTTGTTCTCTTTATAATAAATAGTGCAATAGGGTAGTCTTCTTCCTTTAGCATATTCTTTAATGACACTTCTTTGTTTTTAATCAGCAAAGGGGAAAAGGAAAGCAACTGAGCAAGACTCCAGTACACAGACTGTGAAGAAACTTAAGACAAATCAAAACAGATCAGAAGATTCCAAGGAAAAAGAACCTCACTGCTCTAAATCTACGGTTGCGACATTAGGTGAGACTCAAAGCAAGAGCTTCCTGTGCCATCCTGTAAGAAAAAAGTCTGGTGTGCAGTATAAAAAAAGGAAGCCCAAAATTGATCAAATCAAGTGCTTGCAAAATTTTAGGGTGGCTACAGCTGACAAAGTGAGATATGTATCTGCAAAATGTGATGCTGAACATTGCAGAAATGCCCTAAACCATTGTAATGGCTTGCTCTGTGCAACAGGAAAGAATCCTTTTGTGAGATTAGAGGCCTGTAGTTACATCAATACATTTGTAAAGTCTTCAGCTAGTGGAACTACCAGCAGTTACAAGTTAAGTGGATTCTTCCATGTAGCCCAGGATAAAAGAAAGTGTGTTCTTCCTGATGGTACTACAGAACAGACTGATGGGGATTGCAGCCCTAGTAGAATGGAAAATGAGAGATCACCCATAAAAGGTGGTTTACTGTTTAACAAAGAAAAAACTCAAAAAGGAGAAGAGCGTTTTTCATGCTGTCAGAGTGAAAACAGTAAGTGTTTAAGGGGAAAAAAGTGGAATATTGTTAGAAAGCATAGAAAAAAGATGAAAATCACTGAGAAATCAGAAGTGCAGAATATTTTCACAGACATGGGTAATGAAAGCAGTGAGTGTGAGTTACAAACAGAAGCAGCAGTTGCTCTGTCAAGCTCCTTTGCAGTCTTAGGACTAAATCATAAAGAAATTGCTCTGTCATCTTCATGTAATCATACATCAGATCTTCATATAGGAAAAAATACTCATGAAGCAAAAAATATATCAGTCTGGAGAAAGAATAGTACCAAATTACTTGCGTTTGAAGGTGGCTTTAAGAAGACATCTGAGCTCTCTGTAACAGCAGAAGGAGAAAATTCAAACAGTGTGTCACATCATTCTGCTCCCTCAGGTAGCCTGAGAGTGCTGGCTCAGGTCCGTGATGTTTCTAATTGTCACAAAAGCAAGACAGATGAAAAATTGAACAAAGTTAATAAGAAATTGCAGCGGCTTACCTGTCGAAGAACAATACCTATGACTGGTAAAAATGTTTGGCCTTTCGAATCTTGTGCCAGGACTTCTGAATGGGTTCATAAAAATCGTGGATCCATCTCAGAAAGAAAAAGACACTCAAGGGCTGCCTTTGAGGAATCCTCCGATAAAAGCAGTGTTAAAGCTGAAGGAAACAGTGCTGTGTCTGGGAATTTGGCACGGTTGGATTTGCATATGTCATCAGAAGAAATTAACAAAGAATCTACACATGAAATAATGGATCCAAATACTGAATGTCTGACTTCACTTGAAACACCAGAATCCTCTTCCATAGATATTTATGAGACTTCGAGAATGAGCAATGAAAACGCGGAATCAGTAGTTAATATGGATAGAAGTGCTGTGGCTTTTAACTGTGATGATGTGCAAGAAGTTAAACCAACCTTGAATTTGACAATAAAACAAAAAGATAAAAATAAAGGAGCTGTAACAAAAAGAAACCCGTCTGTGATAGTCCAGAATGGTGCATCCACAGGTAACAAAAACAGAGTAAGTTTTAACAATAAAGCATCAGTAGTGAACCAGACATTTTCTGATTTAAAGCTAATGAAAATATTAAACACTGGGAACCTGACAAAATTCAAAATTCCTTTATGCAGAAAAAAACCTGAATCCAGGAAACTGGAATCTGCCTGTTCCTTTGAAAGGAAAACCTGTAGTCAACTAGAGCTTCTTGACAGCACTGGTATTTCAAGGATGCAGAAAACAGGTGAACAGACTTCTTTAGTAAATTCCAAGCAGCAGCCTCTTCCTGTTGCAAATGATGCCACATGTACAGCTTCCATGAAGGAAAAAGCGGATGAGATCAGCAGTAAAGACTTTCAGCATGATGGTTCTGAAAACCTTTCAAATGAGATGTCTGTGTTCCCTGAACATTTTTCTTTATATCCACATCCTTTTCTTGACAAACAACTAGAGTCATCTGTGCCTGATTTCCGTGATACTGAACGTGTACTAAAATCTGATTTTCCTGATTGTTCTTGCAATGCAGTTGACCACCCCGTTGCATTAGAAATAAATGATGATAGAAAATCAAGAGGGAATCTTTCACAACACAAAAGTAAAAATTTTCCAGACATTCTTGAAGCTTATGAAGAAGATGTTCTTGTCCTTGATGTGATTCAGGATGACCCTGACCTTTTTGGAACCAGTAGTGAAGAGGAGCACGCACTTGGAGACTGTGAAAGTTGTCCTGTGAAGGCATCCTATAATAGCATCTGCATTAAACATGAAAAGCAGGATCTTGAGCCTGAGTATCCTGTTATCTCAGAAAATAAAGATTCAGTAGATTATAATTTTAGGTATGCATATCTTTCTTTTTATTACAGTAATCCTAAGTGCTTCTCATACCAGTATGGAGTTGTCTAGCTTCCTTACAGAATTTTCACTTATTTCTAGGTTGATTTTAAGTGTTAAAATTTGATTGAGGTATGACAGTATTCTGAGTACAAATATATTAATTTGTTCTTCATAAGAACTAGGATAGACTCTGAATCAAAGGAAAACATAGTCCTAAAGAATTGGTTTAGACCTAGTGAAGTGGGATATGAAAGTATAAACAAAGCTAATTAAGAGTAATATTCTTAATAAATAACTTAATATTTTTAAGTATCTGACTTGATTTGAGATAGCAGATACCCCTTTGAGGGTAGTTTTTTAAAATTAGTTGTAATTAGTTGTAAAGTGATATAATACTTAGAAATACTTTTTCCTTTCTAGGTGTAGCTTATTCTTTTGCTGGATCTATATGAGTAAATGGTTGTTTCTGCAGTAGTATTCTGCCATTCTCCTTCCCTAAGTTTCTCCTGTCCCCAGATGTGAATAATTTTTAGATCTGTAATTTGGCTAACATGTTATAGATGTTTATGATCTTGCATCTTTATTCAGCAAGTTCTTGGAGTAAATTATTAGGCATTAATGTTTTTCTGAGATTTGGGATGATAATAAGTCACTGAAGGGGGAAGAGATATCTGAAGTAGAAACCAACTTTTGTAAAAGAGATAGTAGTCCTTTGTGGGATAGATTAACTCATCAGCTGTCTAGTCTCTTTTCTCTCTGAGCTTTGATACTTGTGTTTGATAAATGAGTTTTAAGATTAAATTTTCCATTTTACAAAGGAAAACATACAGCTTGGGTAGAAATAGTACAAGATTTTTCTCTGAAGATTAGCTTTTTTATTAGGAGGGTTGTTTTAATTTTCTTCCTCTACTCCTTCTGGGTGGCTTTATGTTATCCTTATTTTAAATAATGTTTTATTTATTTTCAACATTGTACTGTCTTAGAACTGCATTCCTTTTTTTTATTCTTTGCTCCTTATCCTTTCCCCTTCATTAAACCCATGTGCAAAAGAGGAAAGGAATCTTTTTTGAGGTGCTGAACGGTTTTTTATGTATTACCCCAGGGTAATAACTACTTTTCAGAGATTATTTTCAACTGACTGTGCCCAGAATGTTGTTGCACAGAATGGAAGACCAGAACTTATGAGCCCTTTACTACCATAAGCAATGCATGAGTGTAAAGTTTGCTATTTATCTTAAGTGTAAATTTTGCTGTTTATATAAATACTAACTGAACATTTCGTTGGATCTTGTACGTGCTTTGTGGGGAGGACAAAAATTGCCTTTAATTAGTAATGACATTGAGCTAGAGCAACATTATTACAATCATTAGGTAGATGAAAACTGAGCTGGTTTGATGTCATATTTCAGCTTTCTTACTGGTATCTGTTGAATTTGCTTGCATCAGCCAAGGAAGATAAAAGTGCACAGTTCATATTTCTTACCATTTCCCCTTAGTTTGCTAAAGAAGCAGGCAAAATTGTCTATTTTTGCTTTTTATCTTCCATAATTTGATGCAGAGATTATTAGACAATGACTAATTGTACTTGGTTACATTCAAGAACATATTAATGAACTGAATATGAGAATATTAAAATAAGGCAATAGACCTTACCACAGTTTTATCAGGTAGCTTATGGTATCACCAGATAATACTAAGAATGGCTAGTTCATACTGTTTTTTATTTCATTAGTATTTACCAGATACAACTGGGACTTCAACTTTGGCCAACCGAAAAAGTGAATATGCTGTAGAGTTATGCTCACATCATACTACACATTTTAAAATAAAATGTGGTTTCTGTTAATGTCTTTTTTTTTTTCTTTAGAGATATTCTACAGTATTGTATTTGTTTTCTTGTTTAGCCTCCTATTTTATACATACTTGGTTTTGCTTCATTGCAGTATTAGTTTGTAATGCCCCTTCAGTCTGTCCACGTAGAACAGTGAGTCAGGACTGCACTCCTGGCCCATCTCTAACTTGTATAAATACTAGTTTGTGTGCGTGTTTTGTTTAACATTTGATTAATGATACCCATTCTGCTCTAGATTAATGTAATCTCAGTGATTAGGTAGAAGAACAATGCAAGCTCTTGATGGCTGCACATGATGCTGAATGTTTTCTTTAACTGTATCAAGACATAGCTTTTGTTATGATTTCTCTTCAGATTAATAAGAACAGGCAGATGGTGATAGAAAGAATCTGAATCTTAGCTGAAACTGTTCTAGTATATAGAATCATAGAATGGTTTGGATTGGAAGGGACCTTAAAGATCATCCAGTTCCACCCCCCCCTGCCATCAGCAGGGACACCTTCCACTAGACCAGGTTGCTCAAAGTATGTATGCATGGGGATGGACTTCAGTACATTGGTTCTTGTGTGCTGATATTTTAGCATGGCATTGGTACAGAGCAGTGAGAACTGTATTTCTGCTAGCAGCAAGTTATTCTGAAAGTATAGCTGGGTTATTGGAAAGCTTTTTAAAATCTATTGAGTGTTACTTACGAGTTTAATAGCATTTAGATTGTAATTGTAAAGGAAACAATTGGTGCCTTAATTTGTGGTGTTCTTCCAACCACAAAAATCTGAGATCTAGCAGCTTGTCAAAGTGACAGTTGCTATAATGAAGTAATACTTTTTATTCAAGTTTCATTGTGAAACCAAAGCACTGAAACTGTGTGAAGGATGTACTTGTTTGGTTCAGTAACTGAGAAGTGTTCAGTGGCAGCTGTTAGCCAGTGTGGATGTGTAACTATTAGCGTGAATCCATTTTGTTTGAGCTTTGAATTTAAACACCAAGACATGTTTTTTAGTTCTGAAAATTCAATGATAATATTTTTTTGCTTCCAATTCAAATAAGACTTGGGGGTTTTGTTTTGGGTTTTTTTGTTGTTGTTGGTTTGGTCTTTTTAAAGGAAACTATTAAAGCACCCAACAACCGAGAGGCAGCTACCCTTGCTATACATCTCTCTGACTTAAAGTTTCCTAACGACTGTAATTGTGCTTGCGCACGTGCCCAGAGCTGTTGTCTCTGAACAAGCAGGTTTAAGTAGGACAAGCAGGTCCTGTCTCTTAATCCAGGAAGATTCAGAAAAGGCTCTGTGTGTGTAGGTCTTGAATGATTTGATACAATTAGCATGCTCTGACCTTTAGGATAAGTAGGACTGGTTATTGCTCTGGTGATTGCGTTTTGAGAAGAGTGAGTGCTGGTCACTTCCAGATATTAGTTGCCAGTCATCAGGAAAGGATTCTGGACCTGCAGCCTGAATGGGGCAGTGAGACTCTGTTTTCGCATCTACTTCTGTTTGCCATTTTCTGTTGCCTACCTTTAAGTGACTCCCAACAGTGCAGGTCCTTGAATCAAATATCTGAGGTATTTCTTTCCTCTCATGTAGGGAATCTAGAGACTTAACTGCAAGTGGCATCCAGTATGGCTTTTCATCCCAGCAGAACTACTCGATTCAGGGGATACCTTTGAAAGCGCATCAGCGGCCATTCTTGCTCTTAGCATAGTTCTGTGTTTTACCGTTTTGCTTTGTGAATAAAAAGCCTAAACTTCAATCCATTTTTCATATGCAGAATAACAAACTGAACACTGTGGTTTGTGTAGCTTGTGCTGTAAAGAGAGATTTGTTTAATCTTAATCAGCAGCAGCATGCGAGAGCATCCCACATTCTGATTTGGAAGTGGCTTTTGACCTGAACATGAAGATTTCAGTCTCTTGATGCTGTTCAATATTTTCAGTTTTAGGCAGTGTTTATGAAGATGACAGCTTTCTGGAACTGTCTTCACTGCAGTTTTACAGAAAAGAAAGTCAATTGTTGTTGCAGGCAAAATGAGTCAAACTTTGCATTTCACATAAAATGTGGGGGAGGGAGGAAATAAGCCTAGAGAGCCTGTGTCTGACAAAAATGCCTCTCGTCTCTGCAGGCTTGCTGTGATTTGTTAAACTCTGCTTCTTGCTGCATCTTGTGTATATGCAGGTGTCTGTGCCTGAATGTTTGTACAGTTCCAAGTTACACATACTGGGGACCTTTTTCATTTCCACTAGGTTGTTGCAAATTTTCATTGTTCTGTTTTACTAGGCAGCTTGCTGTCATTGTTCTTGGTGTCGTTGCCCAGGTACGAGTTTCCAAAATCTGTGATGATTACACTGTTGTTTTATATGTTCTATATATCACATTTTAATATGCATTTTTACCCTCTGAGCTTTTCTAAGATTCTTATTTTTTTCCTAACTTATCTTTAAAATAAGTGAAGTATCTTTCTATGAACAAATGTTTTTGTTACTCTCTTTGGGATTCATTGTTATGCAAATTTTCTTGAATATAAAAGTACTATAAATCACATTGTGTAGAAGCTGATTAATTGGCTCATTAGCACAATATTTCCATAATTTGCTGTACAGGGAAGATTTCCCTCCTCAGTATTTTAGGCAAAGGTGAAATGAAATAGTGAGCCTTTTTTTTTTTTCTGACAAATTTGAGGGTTTGAAATGCCTTAGTTTTACTTAACATATCTGTAGGGATGGACATAAGAAAGCCAAAAGATAGAGTTAAGAATAGTGTTAAAACAGTGTCTTGTAAGTAAGGATTCTGTCCATAGCTAAAAATATTATTGAGAGCTTTAATTTTACATAACTGGTTAGATTAATTCTGCTTATATGCAAGATGGAAATCTTAAATACACTTTTTGTTCAAAACAGACACATTACCATACAAGAATCTGGAATGTCGAATGATACTGAAAATTCCTGTGATTGGGTGCTGAACGGTAAGAGTCTTTGGAGATTTTTGAATGTGTAATAAAGAGAAGAAAGTAACCACAAAGATGGTCAGTGGCAAAACTGTAATTTCTACTTTCCACATAAAATGAGAACTTGTCAGTTCACTAATATCTTCTTGTTGTAAAAGCAGTCTGTTTCCTAATGCATATAAAGGGATGTATTTTGAAATGGTACAAATGTGAACCAGGGAACATCTACTTCTCTGTAGTACTTGTCTGATGGTAGTACTGGGGTGTTTTGGGTTTGGTTTTTGGTTGCAGTTTTTTTTGACATCTCTCTGATATTTTAGGCAAGGAATTCTGTTGGTTGACGAGATGATAGTTAGACACTGACTACTGTGATACTGCTTTGGAGTCTGACTCATAATCTCACTTGGTTGTTCTCTTGGGTTCATCAGCAGACAGACTTTTATAGTAGTTTTTCCCAGGTTTTTTTTATTTTTTGCAGATGCTGTGCCCATTCCTCTGACAAACTGTTCTGTTTTTTAAGGATGCTTATTTTTTTAGAGAAGGATACTTCTAACTTAATGTTTTTTTCTTCTGATTTTAAGCAGAACAGTCCAACTGTTAGCATCTAACTGGGATTTGTTTTTACAGCCTGCATACAGGCCTATTGTGCAAAGTATGTCTGATGTGGCAGTTTCTCTTAGATAGGTTGGAGGAACGAGATTTTGACTTTGAACAGAAGCCCGTAACTGTCACTGGGGAAGGTACAGAGTGCTGAGCCTGGTTTTGAGGGTTCATGGTGTTTCCCTTTCTGGTGTCAGTTTGACAACTAGCTGGTAATCTGGCACTCTGCTGCTAAGTACTGATTTTGCTGCAGGCTTGAAAAGGGTCTGCGACAGTAGCTTTTATGCTGTTTTTTCACATTACATACATTCAGGCAGAAAGAGTGAGTGGTTTGGGCAAATGTAGCCTCCTGGAGAAAAAGGAGGGAATAGCTACTATCTAGGGGAGAGAAGGCTTCAGGCTTCAGTGATTAGAAGGCAAAGTGAAAGGTGATGAGGATTTAAGAGCTCAGAAATAGATCCAGGTTCCCTGAGGAGGAGTAGGGAGGAACTAGACAATTAGGCCTCTGGTGATGTAAAGAGCCAGAGGGGCTGGTGCCGTGGCATCTGCAATACTGAGGTGACTGAAACCAAACGCAGGAAGGAGTCCTGTACTATGTAGTAACTTTTGCGTTTTCTTAGACTATTGTTTTACTTCATGTTCTACTGGAGTTCTAATGGAGTTCTAATGGAGGTAGAAGTCTTTGAGTCTTTTTGTGGTGCTTAAAATAAAGAAAAAGGTTTAAGTGGGTCTTTCTTCCCAGATCTGAGATACTTAGGATCACATCACACTCTTAGATTAATACGCACATGGTAACTAATGTTCTATGTATGATTTTTTTAAAAGACCTGTACAGAACAAAAGAAATGTGCCTGGTTTTGGTCATTACTGATAATTTATGTGTTTATTTAGAAATATGTAGTACTGCTTTGGTGTCTTGTGTTATTTACTGCGGTCATGGCTACTTGTCTCAGTGGCTTCACAGTCTAAGAAGGGCAAAAAATACTACAGTCAAGGTATTCTGGATGACATCAATCCTCTTAATCTTTCAGGTGGAAATCTTATGTACATTGTCTTCACGCAGACGTGTCTTGTACTGATGATCATACAGAGACCAGTGACTATAAGATAAAAGCCTTTCCAATAATAGTCTGATTCTTTCTTCCTGTATCTGGACAAGGCAGTGCAGTTGAAATTAATTCAAGTGATCTAATGAAATAGTGAATTTCTTTTCTGTGCAGAGCTCTTCTGTTGTACATAAACAGCTACTTCAGAAAGCTGCAGTCAGGTGTTCTGTTCATTTCCTGTGGCATCTGCAAAAGGTCTGATATTTCCTGACACTGAATTCTCATTGAGTTTACTGTATTACAGGAATTTGGAGTTTCTCAGAGCTATCTGTATTTAGTTCAGGGTTGCATCATGTCATTATGATTAGCTTTTCCTCTTCTCCAGCAAAGACTGAGTCTTTATTTGCTTAGCAAATTGCCATACATATCTTTGGCTGTGTTTTAATAACAAAGCTTAACTGAATTTTATTTCCAAAATCATGAATTCAATATTATGTAAATAAACCTATTGTACTGTTTTACAGGGAGTATTACAGAACATACAACTTGGATAGAATTTTAATTGCAGATTCAGTTTAATATTTATTTGAAATGGTTCATGCTTTAAAGGTGAAATCATTTCACATTTAGGAAGTCCTCGGAGTTCTTAAATGTCATTAGCATCAAGGCTTTGTAATATTTAGGGAATAAAATCTTTGTCGTGTAGAATGGGAAACACATAACATAATGTGTCCATACATTTTCAGCTACAAATATTAAATGCCACAACTCCTCCAGAGGAAGCAGTCCTTTGAGAGGTGTTACTGAGCACTTCCTTGAAGATGGGCAGCTGAGAGAACTAGATGAACTTCTAGAGAGTTATGACATGGATGAAAAGGTACTGCAAAATCATGCTTTTTGTCACTAAATAGTTTAAGAAATGATAGTCCATGTAATTGGATAATTTTAATTACTGATGCTGTTCTATCAACAGAACTTTTAATTTCCTGTACTAAAAAGAATTTTAGTGTTTCATTTTGCTGTTGACAATGTATTACATGACAGAACCTGTTTTTTTCTAACTTGTCACTAATAGTCCATCTTCAAATTTGAAATGAAACAAGATACTGTTTTATCAGTTGTTACAGTAATTCTGTATTACCAGTTGCATGAACATCACAGTTCCAGTGAACACCTCAGAGTACTACTGTGCGTATGTGACTTTATTACATAACATACCTAGTTTTGGAAGTTGGTGTTAAATGCTTCTCGCCATACAGTCCGAGAAAGATGAGGTGGGGTTGGGAAGCTGGGGAGCTGCACAGCTGTTGTCCATCTGGGGAGGATCCTTCTGTGGCTGGTTACTTGGGCAGAAGGGCCATTACATTAACATACTGACTTCCTGGTCATTCAGGAGGAACACTAAGCTGTTTTCTTGCTCACTGACTTCACCTGACCTTTTACTCTCTCTGTCCTCCTTACTCTAGATAGTAAGTCGAGGTGTTATAAAACTTGCTGAAACTTTATACTATTTACTTCTTTGATAATGGATTGGAATTTATATCTCACTGCCACTCAGACATAGCTGCTGATAGCATTTACTGTTTTCCACTACTTCAAGAGTGGATAATGGTTTTAACTGGATAAATGGAACTGTAAAATTCACATGGCTAAAAATTGATGAGTAATTGATAAGGTAATCAAACAGTAGGGAATCAGTTTCCCTGTCAAAATAATTATTTAAAAGCAGAATAGAAACATTTCCTTCACCAAATGGAACTGGGGCTATTAACATCTGATTCATAAAGTGAACGGTGCCATTTTGTTCCCTGACCTCTTAGAGAGGATAAAAGGGTCTGTCAAGTACTATAGGTTACTAGCAGTGTAGTGCTTGTTGCAGCATTGTCAGGTCAAACCCAGTTGGGCTACTTCATAGTGTTGTGGCTTTGTAAAATCAGTTTCCTTGTGTTTGCCTTTCTGTGCTGTGTTGGACAGCAGTAAATATGTACAACTAGTATCACCCAAACCTCAAACTTAACCAAACTTAAGCCACAAAATACATGCTACAGCCCTAAACCTATTCTTGTATGTGGGTGGAAAACCAGCTGTGCAGACCTGGGGAGGAAGTGGAAGGGCAGAACACTTGTTGCAAGTATTGTACTGTTGGGGATGATTTGGGGGTTTCGTTTTTTCATTACTTTCCCAACTAATAATGCTGTGAGAAGGACAAAAACTAACCATGGAGAAAGCCCTAAAATATTTGGGGAACTGGTAAAACAAAGTTTGGAAGTCTGATGACAGCATATCCATCTTTAATTGTTTGGCTATCATAGATTTGTGATATAATGTGAAGTTCAAGTGACTTCATGAATAATGAACAAAGCCAGGATTCCATTACTTTGTTCTATTATCAGTCCTTTGAAATTCTCACACCCAAATACGTTAGGTGCTGTCTTTTTTCTCTATATCTTTGGGGATTTTTTTACCTGTAGAACATAGTGCACAGCTGAGCAAGAGCCTTAGATTTCTCCTCAATACAGCTTTAAATTTTCCTTAAACTTGATGGAATGTCTTTTATGAGTTTCTACACATCTGTCAGCTGCAGTTAAAATTGGGCAGTGAGCCTAAAAATTGCTGAGATTATCAGTGGGGGCAAAGAGAAGTGAAGACTATCATGTCACCTTTTTTCCAATTAAAAAAATCACTGTTTTAAAGATTACAGAGTATAATAGCAGTGTGTCTATTTGAAAAGATGGTGTAGCTGTAACCTACAGTCCCAATTCGAGTTTCTGCAGTCAAGGCTATCTTATCACACTTTCCAACAATCACTAACAGTTTCAAGTCTGTAGTATAAAGCATAAAAGGTTTTGCAGTGCTTTGCTGTATCTGAAAGTACTTTCTAATTATCTTCACAGTTCAGGTTTGCAAGTGGAGTGCCTGATGTTAAACAAGAAAACAAGGGTGAAGCTAAACAAAGGTATATACTGTGTCCTCCATGTAACATGTGATGGTCTCCAGTTACTGTACAAATGAAATGTGATGTTTTTACTGAAACACCATCAGCAATTTAATTCCTTCTATGTTACTGTGACTATGTGATAAAGAAAATTAAGACGTGAAATCATATAATTTCACTGTGCAAAGTACAAGACAAGTATAGTCATAGCCTGACAGGACAATGGAGGTTATTTTGTCCTCTGGCTGGTGACAAAATATCTCCATTTTATGCCAGTGTCTCACCTTTGCATCTCAGTGTGAGTATAGCATCAGATACATTTACAGACACAATAGTGCTTACCAGAACTTTAAAAAAAAAAAAGCAAAACTTTCAGCTTTCTTTTCTGCCTCTTGGGACTTTATAAACTGATGAAGGAATTGAAAGATCTCATTCAAATTCAGGCTGACAAATATTTGAACAGCAGTAGAAAAAGGCGCTTAAAAAAAATAGCATGTGGAGTTAAGCACGTGCTCTACTGTTCTGCTGACTTCAAGCTGTGCTTACAGCTTACATGTGCTTTATTATGCGTATGACTTAAAGTGTCAGACTAAGAAACTTCCATTCAACATCAGCCCAAAAATGAAGCAGAGTAAGACTTTGTAGAAAAAGCAAACTGAATTGATGGAATACTTGAGTAATCAGAAGAGAAATAACAGATATTTCAGAGTTATTTTCACAATAATCAGGAAACCTTGGCAGTCCTAGCAGGGAGTATTGCTTTTTTCCAGCACCAGTCACGTTTCTGTGACAGACTTGAACTGTACCAGAAGTCCGTTAAATGGAGAATGTTGCATCTTTTCATTATTCCACTAGAGAGCTCCAAGCTCTTCCTTTTGGTAAAGCACCAATTTAAATTTACTTTAGTAGCATAAGTAGTTCTTTATGCTATAACATAAGTAGGTTATACTGGATAAAATGTGTTTGTGTAAGTGATACTGCATTATTTCACTTTCTTAGTCTCTCTGGTTAGAGAAGAGGAATTTATTCCTTCATTTGGAGTCACACTGTTTTCTCTAGTTTTACTCAAAAATGTTACCATTGCAAAGTTTCATCTAGAAGAAAATAGTTACTGTTCTTACTTAGCAAGCTGTGCTTCTAGTGGTGCTGTTACTTAAAAAAATAAATTTATTGTAGACCTATATAGTTTAAAGTTTCTGGCAAAATTGTGTGTAGCTTCATGTCTAGATTAAGAAGAGAGCCGAGACTGTTATCCTGAGGTAAGGTGCTATGAAAATCCTGTTGTGTCAGATCCGAGGCTGGTATCACAAGGAAGCATAAAAAAAAAATTATGTGGTAACTTGAAAATTCTGAGTAACTAGGTCTGCAGATATTTTTTTCCTCTGGAGACCAATACAGTAAATTAACTAGCATAAAATTTATATTGAATAATTTGAGTATAATAGATAGAATTTATTCTTCTCTGCTGTAGCATTTTTTATTTCAAACTGTATTAAAAACAGCCTGCAATTTAGGAAAGACTGAATTATCCTGGCTATGAGGAGTATTAAATAGCTAGAATGTGCCCCTCATAGGAGATAGCAAGTCTGTTTCTGTCTCTAACCAGCAAGCAGGCTGAAACGTTCTTTGTACTGAACCTAGATCCTTAATTGAGGGGAGAAGGGGAGGGAGATCTGATAGAAGGGGGTTATTTTTTTCTGTGGCTTTATTTGCAAATAAGAAAGAGATCATCAGGTATCTTGCTAGTAATATTTGTAGCTTATTTTGGAAAATGTCACATTTTAGTAGTTTGTCTGGAATGTACATATTTGGGAATAGTTAAAAGCAGAACACTTTTTCGTTGGAGTTTCTTTGAAATCATCTAAATCTTCTGCTGAGTAGAGTCAGTTATTAGGAAAGAAAAAAGCTGACTCTTCAAATGTATTATCAAAAGCTTTGAAGATTAATTCTTTGGCAGATTTTACATAACAGACTACTGAAAAGTAGATGCTTCTTTAGAGGTGACAGTAATCATCTTGGTCTTCCTGTCAGCATAGTGAAAAAAAACGTAGAAGAGGTTTGCTTTGCCTTATTTATTAAATTTCATATAATTACACTTTAGGACATAATAATCTTGGGTAAAATCATAATTGGATTGGACCAGGCAATGAGAGTAATGAAAGTAAAGTAATTGAGACTGCTAGATATTTAAATTTACAGCAAGATTTTAAGTGTTATTTAAATTGTTGAAGAAATTCTCATCTTTCATACACTTAATCCCTCTTTTTAAGCATTTAGTATATAGGAGAAGCACCTGTTTAATTTGGTTAAACAAATTTTTTTTTTTTAATACTCAACAGTGACTGTAAATACAGAGGTTTTGTGAACTACGAATTGCTATCAGGATTGCCATTGCATGCCCCGAAAGTAAACGTCCTCAGTGAAGCTACAGCAATGAAACCCCAGACAAGCGGTATCGTATGCTGTATTGGTCAACCCTCCAGAATTATTTTATTTTTACATGTTTTATTTACATATAAAGTCTTCAGTAATTTCTTCAATTGCTGAAGGCATTGGCTGGAATTTGTTTTAGTTTGCATACATAGAAGCGAAAATGCAAGCTCTCGTACAGTAGATTAGTGAGGTTTTTTAGGTTGGATTGGGTTTTTTAGCATAATCCCACTTGGTAGGATCAAATAGCAATCATTCTGTCTTGGTAGTTATGGTTCTCAGATTCTTTAATGGTACAGCAGTGCCTGCATTCTTAGTATTTTGACACATTGTGTGTGAGCCATGTTATTGGCAAGGAACTTGTTTTTCTTCGTTTGTGGTCAGAGAACATGACTGCAGCTTTTCTTGGTTGGCTGTTATCTGTCAGCAAAACTTGGTGTCCTCATTTTGCTAGGATAGAGTTAGTTAATTTTCTTCTTATTAGCTAGAATAGCTGTGTTTTAGTTTCAGTATGGGATTTGTTATGAGAAGAATTTTGATAATGTACTAATGTTATTAGTTGCTGCTGGAGCCCAAGGTCATCATGTTTGGCTGCTTCACAGCTGCATTAGGACTGGGAGGGAGAAGCACAGTAAATGGCAAAACCCAAAGTTGACATTTGATGTGCCAATGAGATATTCCAGATCATATCGTGTCATGTCAGTTTATTAACCAGGGCTGACTGGAGGACGGGGGTGTTCTCTCCGGGATCACTCGGGCTCAGTCTTCCGGGGCTTCGGTTTCAGGACTGTCTTGGCTCTGGGATCACTGGCTGGGACAGGCCGGGGCATGGGTGGCGGGGGGGGAGGAAATG